CGTATAATTGCAGGCTTTGTGTGTGTGTGTGTGTGTTTGTGTGTGCGTGTGGGTACACACACACAGCTGCAGGGTGGTTTCTGCTGCAATCTAATTTTTATAAACTTTGTCTTCATGTTTCTGCATAATGCAAGCAGGAGGGTGCATGTATAAGGATCAATGGGTGGCAGAGCAAAATGACTGAAATAGCTATTTTGATTTTCTTTTATTATCACATTTCCTTCACGAGGTCAAAGCAGCATTTGGAGCACTGCCTGTTTCAGTTTTTCCATGCAGCATCAAATTCATGAGATAGATTGGATTAGGAGAAAATGAATGGCCCAAAGTCACTTAGTCAGCTTCTATTACTACAGGGAGTCCTCATTTTAAAACAGGATCAGCAATATCTGTTGCTAGCGAGACAGTTGCTAGGTGAATTTTGTCCCATTTTTAAGACCTTATCGCAGCAAGGTCTTAAAATGAGACAAAATCCCATTTTGGATGTGAATTCCAGCAGTTAGGTTAGTAACATGGCTTCCCCATTGCTTGTCAGAAGGTCGCAAAAGGGATCACCTCATAATTACTGTCATAAAAATGAGCCAATGGCCAAGTGTCTGAATTTTGATCACATGACTATGAGGATTCCTCAATAGCGGTGTTTTCAGTGCCGTTGTAATTTTGAACAGTCACTAAATGAACTGCTTTAAGCTGAGGACTACCTGTACTGGTCGACTTGGACCTGCATCTTCCCATTCTTAGTGTATAGGTAGTCCTCAACCTACGACCAGTTGCTTAGCAGCCATTCAAAGTTCAACTGAATTTGAAATTCCGATGGTCCCACCACCCTCAGTCACATGACTGTACATTGGCCACTTGGCAACCGGGCTGCATTTTTGGCCTTTTGCAGCATCCTGCAGTCCCATGCAATTTTTTTTCTGCATTTTTATGCAGAAAATCAGCATCTACTTCTGTTTTGGGCAAACTTATTGCAACGTGCTCTACATGGGGCTGCCCTTGAAGAGCATCCGGAAGCAAAATGCAAAACGCTGCAAAATGCAGCGGCCTGCATGGTTTTATGCAGACCCCGGTGTGCACATGTGTTACCTCTCCTGCAGGATCTGCATTGGTTGCTGATTTGCTTCCAGGTGCAATTCAAGGTGCTGTTTGTCACCTTTAAAGCCCTTCATGGCTTGGGTCCAGGTTACCTGAGGAAACATCTCTTGCCAGTGACATCTACCCGACCCATTAGAGTGAGGAGGCAGGGAATGTTGCGGGTCCCACCCCTGAGGGAGATACACCTGGTGGCTCCGTCTCTCTGGGACATCATTCCCCCAGAGATTAGAATGGCCTCCTCACTAATATTCTTCCGAAACGCCTGGTTTTGTCAGTGGGCCTGGGGAATCCAGAGAGGGATGGAGCCCATCAAATGGCTAGTGTGATCTGCTGTCGTTGGGGCGTGGGGTGTGAGTTGGTTTTTGTTTTGTTTTGTTTTCTGTTTTCCCAAACTTTGTTCTATTGTACTTACTAATTTATTTGATACTTTTTGTTAGTTTTTTATTGTTTTTATTTTTATTTTTTGTTTTAAATATGGTTTTACATTGTTTAAGCCTCCTTGAGTCGTCATGGGTGAATAGGCGGCAATATAAATTAAATAAATAAATAAATAAAAAGTAGTTAAATCAGATTGTCAACATGACTGTCCCAAGTTATGATCTTGATGGGAGGCTCGATTATGGTCATAACTGGAGGTCTACCTATAGTCCAATATTATAACCATCACCCTTCACTAATTCTCATTGTGATCTGGTCTTGAGAGCCAAAAGTTTCAAAAATTAGGACAGGGGTGGGGAACTATGGCCCTTTTATGGTCTGTGGACTCCAGCTCCCAGAATTCCTGAGCCATCATGGCTGGCTCAGGAATTCTGGGAGTTGAAATCCACAGGTCATAAGGGGAATGTAGTTCCCCGTCTCTGGATTAGGGAAAGCAAAAAGTGGAGGCCTCAACTGAATTGAAAGTTTCCTACCATGAGTTTTGGGGTTACCTTGAATCACTGGCTTTTCCCAGTCTCACCTAACATACAAGGCTGTAATACTGATAAAATGAAGAGCGACATGTTCATTATCGGGACATTCTTGGAGATAAATCAAATATATGTCTGTAATAACTAGTCCACTCTATGTAGTAAGCTGATATTTTCTGAGAGGACTCTTCCCCAACCCCTCGCTGAATTATTTTTTCCTCAATGGTTGAAGACCATGATAATTTGCCTGGCATTTTTCCAACTTGCTGGTGATCATCTTTGTTGGAATTTCATCATTTGTGTGAAAAAAATTATAGAGCACAATATTGATTTGAAGCTTTAATAAGGAGGATCTGTTAGCTGGATATGTTTGGTACACTAACAAAGAAGCACCCCATCGCTCCCTTCCAAACACTTGTTTTTTAATTATTGTAATTTTAATTTGTTTATCTCTATCTCTCTATCTCTCTAACTGTCTGTCTGTCTGTCTGTCTGTCTATGTATCTATCTATCTATCTATCTATCTATCTATCTATCTATCTATCTATCTATCTATCTATCTATCTATCTATCTATCGAGAGCATTTGCACCAAGACAAATTCCTTGTATGTCCAATCACACTTGGCCAATAAAGAATTAATTCTTTCTTTCTTTCTTTCTTTCTTTCTTTCTTTCTTTCTTTCTTTC